ACCATGAGCTGAAATCAAGAGTTGGATGCTTAACTGACTGAGCCACCCAGGTGCCCCTACATTTTTTTGCAGTAGTTTTTAGTGAAAAATTCTGAGGCCTGGGAGTTGAAGACTGTTTTTTTTTTTCTTTCTTTCTATTTTTTGCGTGTAGATTTTGCTACTTCCGTACTGTGTGACTCTACATTAAACATTTAACTGTTTTGAATCTCAATTTCCTGACCTGTAAAATGAGAGAGTTGGATTAATTAATCCCTATGGTCTTTTGAATTCTGTGAGTTTGACAAAGATTTTATGCAGTGATTTGTGTTACAAACATGAGCCAAGTGAAAATACTTTTCAAGTATATTCTGCTTCTGCATTCTTCATATTATGTGGCTAATCTTCCCATTGGAAGTTTTCATTCTAATTCTAAACTGCATCTTCCATTAATCATTGAGCTGTTTGCATTTCTTTTATGGGGAGGTACAGATTACTTTGATATTGTAATTGCTATTAGCTGAAAAGATGCTTATTTTAGTGTAATTAGAATTTATAGAATTAAAGAACATAAAGGGCAGCATAAATTGGTGTTCTCTCTCCTTCCAGAAGGGATATTCTATTTCCTAATGCTTGAGATGGTCTAAACAAAGAAATTCATGTGTTAGTGGCATGAATTCTTTAGCCCAATACTACTTATTCTGTTCAAAGAAGCTGCCAATTGGTTCTTAGGCAGAAACACACAGTATAATTTAGCATGCAGTTCAGAGGAACCGCTTCGCAAATTGCATACAAGAAAGTGTCCTTTTCATTTGTTCTTCTGTACTATAAGTGCATCCATGTTTGAAGAGAAAAGAGAAATGCTAGTCTCCTCTGTAGGAAGGTAGACTGCCTGGCACATACGTGCTTGGATGTGGGCTAGATTAGAGGATCAGTCGGTGCTTAATATAGCCTTCGGTGGCCATTGGGAGAAGGGGTTAGCTTTCTTTACTTCCTTCAGCTTTTTATAGTTGTGAAATTTTAGGGAATTTTAATGCTACAGTCAAAATAGGATTGAATTAGAGGCGCCGGGGTGGCTCAGCTGGTTAAGCATCTGACTTTGGCTCATCCAACTTTGGAATCCTGCGTTGGGCTCTGTGCTGACAGCTCAGAGCCTGGAGCCTACTTCGGATTCTGTGTCTCCATCTTTCTGCCCTTCCCCCCACTCATGTTCTGTCTGTCTCTCTGTCTCTCACAAAAATAAACATTAAAAAAAATTTAAAACAGATAAGTTAGTTAATTTTGCAAGGAATTACTCTTTAACACATAATTTCATCTAAGCTCTTCCTGTCTCTCCATGAGTAAAAAACCAGAGATACCCAAGTATAGGGATTATAGGCATCAGGCACACCTAAATCTGGCACTTTTGGTCCTTGGTCATTGTTATTTATACTCCTTGGCTCTAGGTGCCAATATTGGCCAAATACATCCACAGTCAATCCAAGTCATCTTCAAATAACACGTATACTGTTTCCTGTTATGCACACCAAACAAAGCACTGAGAAATCTCCAGAACAGCCATAGTCTCTCCTCAAACTCTGGGGCTTCTTTTTTTTTTTTTTTTTTAATTTTTTTTTTTCAACGTTTATTTATTTTTTGGGACAGAGAGGGGCAGAGGCATGAGCGTGGGAGGGGCAGAGAGAGTGAGGAGACACAGAGATGAGCGACTCCAGGCTCTGACAGCCATCAGCCCAGAGCCTGGCGGAAACTCCGAACTCACGCGGACATGAATGATGACCTGGCTGGTGGTAGGACAGCTTAACTTGACTGCTTACCGGTGGCCCCTGAATGTTCTAAGGTGGTTTGCCAATCATAGAAGCTGATTAATCCATAAAGCACTGTGTAATGGAAAATGACCAGCTAAGTGAATTTGATTTGCAGAAGAGGCAGCTGGGTGGCGCAGTGGAGTTCTCGCGTCGACTTATCCTTCAGGCTCCCACCCTCTGTGATCATGGTCCAGCACCCGTCCAAACTCTAACTCAAGCTTCTTTCTGTCCCTCCCTTCTCTGCACCCCTCCCATTCTAACATTAATCTTTTTTGAAATTAAAAAAAAAATAAGCTGGTCTTTCATTATTTTGTTAGGTTTTGACATGTTTTCGTAGATCCCAGGTGTAGGAGGGTGAGGAAGAAGATTGTTTTCTAGGTCAAAATTACAGGAGACTTGGATTCTAGTCCTGGCTTTGCCTCTGTAGTGTGATATTAGGCAAAATGGCTATCTTCACATGCCTCATTTACCTAAGATGTAGTGGCTCTTGCTTTCCAGGCTGAGTTCTTGCAAGAATAAGATAGAAAATGTTTTTGTGTCTTGAAAATGTTATAGCCATGGTGATTACTCAGATCTGTATAGCATTTAATACAAAATGGAAACGCTTAATTACCTTAATTTGTACAAAATTAAATGTAAAAGAGTCACAAATGGGACATTGTCTCTCCAATTAAAAAGTTTTCTATAACAAGGATTGAACCCAGGCTGGAATTTGTACCAAATTAATTGTGTTCATAGCAAGTGAGTTGGAAATTTAGTTCATTTAGTTCCTTGTTTTCTGGGGGATTAAGAATCAGAATTTTTAATGTTGGTCATAGGTTCTCAGTTGCCATGACATTTCAGTCATTAGTCTGATTGAAGCCTTCTCCAACAACCCTGTTCTTCTAGAGGAGGCAGAAAAAATGATCTTGTTGGCTTGGCTGACGCCTGCCTGTTTAGATACTGTGTCTCCCTGTGGAGTCCCCTCAGGGGCCTGGGAAGAGGACAAGGGGAGGCCAGCTGGGCTGCCTAGGCCAGAGACCAAGAGCCTTTGCTCTGCTCCATTTCCCACTCATTGTGCAGCCCAGGCCCTATCACTTGAGAGACCTGGCAAGGAAGTCAGGAGGAAGTGAGTGCCCTGCTGGTTCAGAATGTTCCAGTGTGGTTGGAAAGTTTGAGAAGGGCCCTGGGTGAGAAGAACAAGACCTTATTGACAGGGTTCAGGCCCGATCAGGTCTGTTTCACATCAGCTTTCTGAATAATCACAGCCCTCCCAGCCCCCATGGATCTCTAGCACTTTCACCTCTGCCTTTTTTTTTTTTTTTTTTTTGAAACATTGTATGTAGCCATGGTAGAACACAAAGCGCTTTAAATTTTTATTCCAAAGAGGAATTATGAAAGATGAAAAGTATAGTGTTGCCTGCTTCAAAATGACAACACTAACACCAGCACCAAAACAAAACTTCATATTTTGTAGGGTTTTCCAGACTACTGTAAAATTATTCCTCTTATTGTAAATGCTTTTTCTATTAAGCTGTTTTCTCATTGATTGATTTGTAAGACTACTCATTATTCTTACATTTCTGTTGGTCTGTTCTAGTCTGAATTGTTCAGTCCTCTTATCTGATTTAGTTTGCATGTTGGGTATTTAAAAACTGTGTAATTGTGTGTAAATCATAAGATTGAGAGGAAAAGGAATATGTTAAACAATTTCTCTTCTCTACGTGAGTCTATAAAACAGAATATTTATGTCAAGTCAGAAGAAAATCTGCTGGTGGTTTTAATGAACCACAAAATGTGTCCCTTGTATACCTTGCCTTGTCATCCTGCCTGAATTTATGTGTGACTCTGCATTAATGTAGTAAACACTCTTTTGGCAGTCCTGTCATTTTCAGGACCCATAGGGTGTCTCCAATTCCAGCTTTAAGCCAACTAATGACAATAATAAGACTTGCTTCACTTTTCTTTTTCCTGGAATGTCTGGTAGGAACTTTTGAAGCTCAGAGGGATATTGTAAACTTTTTCAAAGTGAAGAAACCAAATATCCCCAGCTACTTTTGAGTACACAAATATCCAGTAGTTGGAGCCTCCCATTTTTATGTTTAAGTCTGGATAGGATGGAGGGGACCTACCCAGGCTGAAAGCAGGTGGGCAGTTAACAGGTTTTACTGCAAAATGTCTATCCAACTCATATTTTGAGCAAGGCTGGTAGCTTTTTTATAGTACCTCTAGAACAGTGATTTCTCACCTTTTGGTCTCTTAATAGTTTTATTAGAAGACTCTCATACTTCCTTTCCCTAAACCTGGCACATGAAATATTTTAGTTTAAATGACACTCTTCCTTATCTAGAAATTTTTACAAGAGTTATTAAAAGCCAGTCGAGAATCTCTGTGTTTAGTCAGATACCTTCATCTTAATGTAGGGATTAACTGCATGATTTAAGATGCATTCTTTCTATTTTGTAAAAAATAAACATCCTTCTTTTATTTAAAGTTTATGTGTGTGTGTATGCATACATATTCAGTGATAATAACACAAGTCTGATTGTGTTTATCCCCCTCCCCCAAAAGTCTTTTGTTGCTGAACTTTCCAGAACCCCTGAGTTAGAAGCCAACTCCCACCAGTGCCTAGAAAGCCTTCTCCCACGAAAGTACTCGTCTTCCTCCTTTCCACTATGGTGTCTTTTTTCAATAACATTAACACTCTAGTGCTCCCTGCCTCCTCCTCACACTCACCCTGCCTTCTCCCCAAGTCCCCACAGCTCTCATCTAATTCTTCCCAGTGATTCCTTTTTTACAACCACCCAGAATTAGTCTGATTCCTGTATGTTCCTGTAGTACCAAGGACTTCTGCTTTGCTACACATACTTTGCATAATAAAGTGGAAAAACCTAAACCCAAATCCATGTGAATCTTAAGTGTCATGTTCTCTCTGTTGCCCCATATTATCTCCCCAGATTTTGTTTCTTACTCCATGAATAAGACAATGATAACATTTTACTGTGCTGCTTTGGTGCTCAAATGAAATAATGTCTATGAAAATGCTCAAGGAATAGTAGAAAGTTGATCATTATTCTGTTTTTACCATCATTATCTGTATTATTTTTATTTTGGTTGCTATGATCCTTAATTTAAGTTCATATGGCCTCTTCAGTGCTTTTCTCAAAACTCTCAGTTTTGGCTGCCTTCTCTCCTCACCATGATGAATCTGACAGTTGTCAATTTTCCTTCCCTTCCCAGGATGGGTCATACTTGGCTGAGTTCCTGCTGGAGAAAGGCTACGAGGTGAGTGACTCAGTGAGCAAGCACAGGCTGGTGGAATCACTTGGACGCAGTGGCCTCCTGCTTCCTCTGCTGTAGTCCTCCTGTGTGTGTTTTCCACTGAAACTCTGATAACAAGTCAAAATCAGGGGAAGAATGTGCCGCTTGGCTTGTAACCATGCCAGCTCATTGTGCTATTTATCTGTTGGTGAGCACTGGTGGCTTCCCCCTGTTCCTTAGTGTTTAACTGCTTTGCACGCTTCCCACATTCTTAGATAAAACAGCAATCTGTGTAAGCTAAAAGCTATAATATTATTAGGGTTAATTTATGATGTAATGTGTTACATAAAAAAAAGTCTCGCAGTGAAGTCACTTAATTCGGAAATTGCACAGAGCAATAAAAACTAAGCTGATCTTTGGCAAGCTTGAATGAAACATTTACACTCAGAGGTTTTTGCTTTCTAATAGGCAGCCATATATTTTATGGAGGCTGAAACTTCTGGGTTTGCTGGCGTCATCATCATTGTCGTCATCTTTTTCTCCTCTTTTGTCCTCTCCTTCAACACTGACTGCTTTCCTTAAAGGAAACCGGAATTTTACATATTGAATTTGATATAACCCCATGTATATATCTTACCCTTTTAAAGAACAATTCTCAGATATATACATCTATGTAAATTCATGTTACACAGAGAAGAAAAACCTATACAGTGACCCATATGCTCTGGGCTGATCTGGGAGTGTTTATGTTAATAAATTTGGATTCTCTGGATTATTCTAATTGTAGGTGTACTGTTTTAAAAAATGTGCATGGTGGGCAGATGGAAAAACAACAGCAAGGAATTTGGCATCTAAATGCCAACAGGATTTGCTGAAAAGGAAACTTTCTTACTATAACTCATAATCTTTTCTGAGAGCCTTGACTTTTAGACTTTAAGAAGTAATAGCAGATATGTTTAGCACCTTCTATTTCCTTACCTAGCCAGCTAGTTTTATATTTTGCAAAAATATCAAAATGAGACAACTATAATTATGAAAGTGTACATGTGCACTTATGTTCATATGCAAAGATTTCCTATAATAATTGAGTGATAAATACATATTCTTTAAAGCAGAGAATTTTAGAGTAGATCATATGTAATATAGAAGAGTTAGTTTTAGATAAAGACTGGTATTTATTTAGACTACATTAACTTAGTGCTTTGGTAAGTCTAAAAGGGAAGGATTAGCAGAGAGACTTACTCTGTTTCAGGTGCTGGCACTGGCTGAGAGGTGTTTGGTAGCTAGAGAGGAGTTAGTGATTTGGCTGTGTATCAAGTGAACCAAGAGAAGGAAATTTGTGAGTAAGAGTTGATGGGGTTCAGGATGTGCTACCTCAAAATATGGCACCTCAGCATATTGAATATTTTAAGCTGAAGCAGTTTGAGAAAATAGTGGAAGTTGGAGAAAATAGAAGGAGTTTGAGAAAACTGTAGAAGTTCTTCCTGTTAATCTTTTTTTGTTTAATGTGGAGGAGGAAAAAATTTTTGCTCAGCTCTCTTAGGGTCCCTGTCTGGGTCTGAAAATTAAACTGAGAAGCATGCAAATTTATTTAATGTAAGTTTTACGTGACATGGAAACCTTCATAAAGAAATGAAGATCCAAAGAAACTGTTAAGGCTAGGTATGTTTATGTTAGGTTCGATGGAGACTGGATGGTCGTGGAGAAATATGACAGGTCAGGCAGTATGATGTGAATACAATAAATAGGGGAAAACTTAACAAGATTTGTTTATTTGAATTCTTCTTGGCATCCCCTTGTCTTCAGAGACAAGGATGCTCCTTTTCTCCAGTTATAGGGTGGATACCTCTCACTAGAGGGTGTCATGACTGTTTCAGGGGAGAAGAGCAGGGGGAAGGTTAGAGTGACTTTCCTGCTTCTACTGTTTTCTCACATTCCTTCAGCTTAAAATATTCCATACACCAAGATGCCATATTTTGGGGTAGCGTGTCCTGAACCCCATCATGGTCATTGCAGTTTTGAACAGTGAGGTGATATGTCAGACAGAAAGCTTAAGCTGTGTGGTGTTGAAATTTACTTCCAAGGTGGACATGGGGGACTAAGACATGGGTGAGAATGGTGGCAACAAGTTGTATCCACAGCTAGCCCAGAGGAAAATGGAGCAGGCATGGCAGCGTGAGGTGGAGTTGTCACTGTGAAAATGTGGTGGACTAGTGATAGGGCCTAGGGTTAATCTGGATATGGTAGATGGTGAATGGTCTCAGCATGATGCTGCTGTTAGTATTACTAGAAATGGCTGGGAAGAAGACCTGCAGAGGGACATGCGAAGCTCCATTTAGGTGGCTCGTTAAGGAACTAGCAGACTTGAGAAGATGTTGCTAAATGGTTGACAGACATAGAAATAAATATAATGAGAACCTAGGACTGCCAGGTGAGCTACAAATGTTTTTGTTACGTTGACATTTGAAATTATAAGAGCATATTTGATTATGATAAACGCAACAGAAGGTCCACTTGGCAAATCACAGTTAATGAGAGGAATGAATCATTGAAACAATGATTGACCAGAGAAGGGAGATTTAGGAGTGAGATCCATAAATTGATAGAGGGAGATGCTACAGACAGTACAGGTAGAAGGTATAGAGCTACAAAGCATAATCAGAAATGATTCCATAGTCCTGGGGAAATACGACTTTTGTAGGAATAGGGGAATGAAAGGGTGTTTATCCATATTGTATTCAATTTTAATAGGCTGCTGTCTTCAATTTTAAGACATGGATATAATTGTAGGATAAGCTATTAAGGGAAATCTAATAGTGGCAAAGACTTCATCTTTTTGTGTTTAGGTTGAAGTAAATATGAGGGTCATTTTTCAAAGGGGCTGCATTGGAAGTTTTCCTGAGTTATCAGCCAGCAGCCCCTGGTTGCTCAAGACCATGAGCAAAATAATAGGGCTAGTAAATTGCATGCACTAGGATAAGAGGAGACACTTGTCTGTATCTGATTCCAGAGGGTCAACATCAGCAATTTGGATGAGCACAGACTTCTAACACAGCAGGTTCTCAACCTGTAGTATGCATCAGAACCACCCAGAGGCCCCATTAAGATGCGGATGGCTGGTTCAGGGGTCTGGGAATCAGCCTTTCTAACAAGCCCCCAGGTGTGACTGATGCTGCTCTCCTGGATCTTATGGTTTGAGAACAAGTACAACTAAAGGTTCAAATGAGATCATTTAATCACATGGTGAAGATGAACAGAATTTCTTAAGGTACCTTAATTTGTGGGGCTTTGCTTCTCTGAGCTGTCATATTATTTTGAATTTATGCTTTGTATAAGGAATATCACTAGGATCAGAAATAACTGGAAACAATATGCTTTGGGGTAGCAGAGTATAACCCAGGAACAAATAAGCAATGGGAAAAAGAGCCATAGATTCTGTGAATAGGCTTGATAATGAGGCTGAGTTCTTCCTAGAGCAGAAAGGGGCAAACTTTAATTGGCTAGTAATGGCAAAGTCAGCCTTTCATTATGAAGAGGGGGAGGCATGGACTCTACAGAGAAGCAGTAGTCAACTGGAGCAGAGCAACTGGTTGAAGAACAGAGACAGGTTGGTGAGGTAATGATGATGGAGCCATGTAGGTAAAACCAAATCCTATCTATAAAATTAGCACAGCACAGTTACATATATTCCTTTACTTTTCTTTAGTCAAAAAAAAAAAAAAGGCAGAGTATAAAAGGATTGGCTAACTTTATATTTTTTAAAATTTTTTTTAACGTTTATTTATTTTTGAGACAGAGAGAGACAGAGCATGAACGGGGGAGGGTCAGAGAGAGGGAGACATAGAATCCGAAACAGGCTCCAGGCTCTGAGCTGTCAGCACAGAGCCCGACGCGGGGCTCGAACTCACAGACTGGGAGACCATGACCTGAGCCGAAGTTGGCCGCTTAACTGACTAAGCCACCCAGGCGCCCCAGGATTGGCTAACTTTAAAGCAAAGATAGACATTTGCATATGACTTGAAAAGGAATATCATATATTAATAGACTGATTAGTTATTGTTAATTGCCTTCTGTGACCTCACATATTAGATTCCTGAAGCAGTGGGCCCTGGCCTTCTAATGTGGCCACTGAAATCCATGCATTTGATCATGCTCTGAATGATATAACATAAGAAAGTAAAGGATTGCTTTATTCCTGGCTCAGTTCTCATTGAGAAGAGACTCTATTTAAAGTTTTAAACTTACAGTTTTTAATGTTGCTTTTTTCTTGAATTTTGCTTAACATTAAACATTAAAGAGAATGAATCACACACTTGCTTATTATTTATAGAATATAGGTGCCATATCATGATGAGGGAAATTCAGAATTGTCAGGTTTTATAGAAATTCACCCTTTAAAACCTCAAATATTTAATTCTACAGTTGTTAAAGTGCAAAGGATAATTCTCCCTTATAGTCTGTCAGCCAGCTCAGAGCCAGGAAGGTGAACAAGGAGGTCCAGCTTACAGTGGTGAGGAAGCCCTTAGGCTTGAACACTGAACAGCCTGTTTCCTACTCCTCCTTTGTCATTGGTAGCTCTGTGGCCTTGGGCAAGTCACTGGACCTCTCTAAGACTTAGGGTTTTGTTTTGTTTTGTTTTGTTTTTTAGGTAAATGGGGATAATAAATGCATCTATTTCCTAAGGTTGTCTTGAAGATTTAGGTGAGACAAAAAGATGGAAAACAGTCCAGAGAAGCTCTGTGGGATCTATGGGGCTTTGGTTGATATAAGAGTAACAAGGTGACACAGTGCTTGATGCTGGCAAGCCAGGGGATAGAGATTTTATAGAAGGCTCCTTAGTCTAGTTCATTAATTAGCATTAGTGAAAGGTAGGCCTCTTAACATTTCCTAGGATCCTATCCCTGTATTCCTTCTTGCCATGAGGGGAAAAGGAGCATTGACAGAAGTGAAACTTCTTATGAAAGTTTGAGTGCCTTTCTGTAATCACTGTTAGCAGATAAGCTAGCAACATACTTCTGTACCTATTTTGTACCCCAAAACACAGAAAAACCAGAAAAACAAAAGTCAAAGTTATATATTTAAAGAGCTAAAATATATCTGGGAGTAAATATATATATATATTTAATAATATGTGTATATTTTAAAAGCTAAAATATATCTGGGAGTAAACGAAAAATTTATATTAAATAACATGGTAACAACTACAATACAACATATCGAAATTTAAAATAAGGAATAGGTGAATTGTGGGTTTTCCTTCTAGGAAAGGAATTATAACCAGGGAGTATCAGGAAAACAGAAAGAAAATAGCATATAAGGATTGTCCAGTTGTTATCTGAGAGATCATTTGTTACAACATGGAGTTCCTATGCATCCAATCATGATTGGTGAGAATCTATAAAATAATTTTTCTGGGTGAAAAGAGGCAAAAGTTTTTATGGATTTCATTTTGAAACATACTGAATGTTGGTAGAATGAACCATGTATATACTTTAACTTTACCACGTATATTAGCTGTGTGATCTCAGGCATTGTCCTCTCAGGCACTGTATTATAATCCTAATAATATTAGGAAGATTAAGTGATTTAATGTCTATAAAGAACAGTGTCTGGCACTGGGGTCATTGCCATGTACATATTAGCTATTGATGTTACCTATATTATCTATGCTTTTCAAAAGGCAAGTAGTATTAAACATACCTGGGAAAGCATCCTTCCTTGGCTCCAAGAGAAATCTAGACACTGAAGAATTTGAAATCTAGTGGTTATAATTTTTCTGTTTTCTTGATCAAAATAACAAACATCCTGAAGGATTTGAAATCCAGTAGCAACAATTTTCTGTTTTTGTGATTGTAATAAATAAAGAAATGAGCAAGCATTTCTCTGTTATATTGCCTTATCTGAGTGTAGGTTTTGAAGTAAAATTAACTTTGTTCTGACATTGAGAGAACTCGAAATTTTCTTTTTCATCGTTTAGTTAAATGGAACATAAAATTTATTTGTCAAAATACTTATTTCTATTTAAGACATCGGTTTTTCAGAATTATATTTTGTTTTTGAACTACTATAACATAATAGTGATTTTGATTAAGTTTATATGGAGTCATTTTCAGCTCATTTATCTTTTCAGTTTGGTTTCCTAACTCCTCAGCTCCTTTCCCCCCAAAATCCTTATAAAAACAAACAACAACCATGCATACATCCCTTCTGTAAAGAGAAAGCTGCTAATCTCAAATTCTTAACTAGATTATCCAGTTTGCACACATTTTGGCTTGTCTTAAAGTTTGTATTTCACCTGTCTCTGAAGCACACAGACTCAGCTTTCATTAGTTCTTAGAATAATACTTGCTGTCATGTATTAAGCATTTGGCAGGTCTTTCTTTCCCTGTATACACATACCAAAAGTTGGGAGTAGGGGAAATTAAAACACATTGTGTGTGTGTGTGTGTGTGTGTGTGTGTGTGTGTGTGTGTTATAAAAAAACTTAGTGCTTAATGCTTTTGGTTATAAGTGTGACAGAAAGTCCTATGTTATTCATTTGCTGTGACTTTGTGTAGTTGTCTGGTTTCGTACTGAATCCAGCAGTATCATTTGATATTTTTATCAGAGCCTTTAAAGCTTATATGCATTGTGTATGTATAAGGAGTTGCTCTTTGTTTTGGGCTGTTGGAATATGTGACTTACCCAGAATCCAGCGATCAAGAGAAAAAATAGACTAAATCATATTTTTATTATTACTTCATTATGAAAATTCAGTTGTCTTTAGAACATAGAAATTCCTTTATATCCAATGAAATAAAGCTCTACTTACATCTGAGAAATCTATGTTTCAGAAATAACTTGGTGGTCAATACCAATTTTGTTATGTATAAGTATGTATGTGAACTTGATTTTTATTAAACAAAAATTATTTGCTGAAATTGTTTGTTAAAATTGTTTGTAGAACAGTTCAACTTTACAATTAAGCTACAACCTGAAAAATTGGACCATGAAGTACAATAATTCTAGGCTTGATGTGTTATTCTCTACTTTCAAATTAGGAAATGGATATGTGTACCCAAATCTCAATTTAGTGTTTCCTAGATTTTATTGTTTTTTATTAAATTTTTTTAATGCTTATTTATTTTTGAGAGAGACAGAGTGCAAGTGGGGGAGGGGCACAGAGAGGAGGAGACACAGAATATGAAGCAGGCTCCAGGCTCCTAGCTATCATCACAGAGCCTGACTCAGGGCTCAAACTCATGAACCTGAACCAAATCATGACCTGAACCAAAGTTGAATGCTCAGCTGACTGAGCCACCCAGGTGCCCCTACTGTTTTCCTCCTGAGATGTCAATGAAGTTTGAGATATTCCCTTCTTAAAATATTTTCCTTTTTACCAAATTTTCTTGGGTTTAGTTCTTTTGGAAAATAGTGTGGATGAGTGCTTTTCTCTTTGGCTAAGGCAACTAACCAACAGAATTATTAATTGTGGGTGTGTTGTATCCTTTGAAGAAGTTAATTTCTCATGTATGCTGTATAAAATGACGGTGACATTTCTTTCTATTTGAAAGAAAGTCTTATGTGCTTATAA